CTCAATGCGGATGCTTAAACCTTACGCCCTTTCCCGAACTCAAAACACTAACCTTAACAGTAAGCCTACCCTAACCCCTCACCCTAACCCCGAACGCCAGCCCTAACGTCTGCCATAATCCCTGACCCAAACCTAAACCCTAAGCCCTGGCCCTAACCCTAACCGTAAACCCTAAACTTAACCCTCACCCCTGCCCTGACACTAACCCCTATCCCCTAATATTGACCCCTGATCCGAACCCTAAACCTGACCCTAACGTTACCCTAATTTGCCACCCACCCTTCACCCGTTAATCATTGTTCCCTATTGATAGACACCCCCTCCCCCACCCGGCCAGCAGCCAACCGGGAACCATGAGCACACCATGAGGGCCCCCCCCCACCATCTCTGTCAAAAAACCATACACAATATACCTTGTGGCAAAGTCTGGAGTCATGTTCGTGAGGCCCGCGGGCACTTTGTGTTGTTTTCCGATAGGGACGGCGGGGGTATCAGCATATTGCCTGCTGCGCGCAGGGCTACCATCCCTGACAAACACAATACAACATGCACCTCGCGGCTAAATGTGGATAGTTCGCGGCCACCCCGCGATCATTGTCAAGTGGTTTTTGTCAGGGACGGCGGGGGTGGTGGCGTATGGCCTGCTGTGCGCAGGCCCACCAGACACAATGATGGGCATTGGTTTTCGACAGGGATGACGAGGGCCGACATGTTTCCCGATGTATGCTGTCACATGCGCAGGCGCACCTGACACATGCACGTGCCCTGGACGTGGCGCATCTGGCGCGGCTGGAAGGAGCATCTGGCGCACTAGGCGTGCCTGGCACGCTCGGGCCCCAGGGGTGCCTGGCGCGCGTGGCGCGCCTGGCACGCGTGGCGCACCTCGCCCCAGCGTCGCGCACTTGGGCTCGGTTTTGGTTCCCAGTAGCTGTCCATCAAAAGACGACCGTGGAACATGCTGAGGCTCGGGTGTTATTTATGTGTTGGGAGGGCGGGTGGGAGTGAGCTAGACGGCTTGCTATCTGGAGGGTGTCTTGACCCAACCCTAACCCTGATTCTCTTAACCCCTGACCCCTAATCCGAACCCCCAACCACATCCCTAATCCTAAACCCGAACCCAAACCCTAACCTTAATTACGAACCCTGACGCAAACCCTGTTCCAACCCCTAAGCCTAACCTTACTTCTCTACCCCCCAACACCCTAACCGTACCACTCGAACCCTCACACTCGCACCCCAAGATCTCGACCCTAACACCCTAACCCTAAGCCTAACCCCCCAACCCCCTGCGCCCTAACCCGACCACCCTGGCCCCAGCCCCTGCCCGAGCAGCCTGACCCTACCGCACCAGCGCTCCGGCGCGGGGAGGGCCTCCCCTCCTGCCCCCCCTGTTCTTCGCCAAGGGGGGAGGGGGGGTAAGGGGGGGGATCGAAATCCTCCCCCCCCTTTGACATGGGGGGTGTCCGAATACGCCCCCCCATCAAGGGGAGGGGGGGGGTTCTGCCACCACCCCCCTCTTCAATTACGAGGGCATCCGCTGGCGCTCTTTTCCGAAACATTCCTCACGATCGCCTTTTCGACTATTACCAATAAGCGTCGAGCCGGCGCAAATAACGCCAACGAGCGTCGAGCCGACGCGGTCCGTAGTATTGAGCTTCGAGTCGACGCGGACCAAGTGAATGAGCGTCGAGTCAGCGCATGCGATCCTATCTCGATGAGCGTCCAGTTGTCTCGCAGCATGGTCATGAGTGTCGAGTCGACGCGCACGATCCACATGAATGCCGAGCCGAAGCGAACAATCAACCGGATGAGCGTCGAGTCGACGCGTTTGTGCCTCAAGTGACCTCTTGAATGCGCAAACTGCATAGCAGGAGCAAATCAGACAACAACATACAGCTCTTCTGGGGCAAGGGAAAGATTCACTCCAGGCTTTCCGCGGCACATTCATCGAATACGCGAGAGCAAACAATGAACGCGGCGACCGGCAAACGCGGGCCGTTGGATAATATATTCGGATGGTGATCCACTTGATTAGTGAACCACACACCGTCCGCCCAGCTATCGGTGCTGAAGCTCAGCTCGTGCTGCTCTCGAAGTTCTTGTAGCCCATAGTGCCAGGGGCGATGAACAGGACCAGCAACAAAGACGGCGTATCCGGGCTTAATTATCTGTATGAGCAGTTTACGGTACTGGGCCAACGACCCAATCATATTTTAACCGAACAGGAGAGAAGCCAATTCATCAGCGAATAGCGTGATTACATAATGTATGAATCCCAGGCAGAAGGCGGATCCCCGCGAGTGCAACCGCTTGCCAAGAACAGTGAGTTGGGGCATGTCAGAACTGAGTTGGCAGACGTCGCGACCACCGCGGATGATATAATATGGTCAAACCTCCAGAAATAATGCCGTGATCTTTATGTGCGAACTTGTGCTAGTGGCCCTATAGAAACAGGTCAGGGACACGCACGGCAGATTCGACGCATCTGAGCACACAGCTGCTGGCTGCAAGGGCCAGTTCAGAATAATAATATCTAAAAAATTTCGGCCCATCCCGCCACCGTGC